TCTATATATCATTTTAAAATGCATCCCATCACTACAAGCCTGTAACAAAAACCATTTTAAGTGTTATAAACACTCTTAGGCAAGAATATAAAAATCAGTCAGGTTTTCAATAATTCTGACTCAAGCCTGAACATCTGAATGATGTGAAACATTTCCATTCCCAGCTAAAAGACTGCCATGTTCTGGTAGTATTTATTGAATATCTATTATTTGATAGACCCTTGGGAAGAATGAATCTGATTCTCTATTCCTAAAAAGCTCATTGTAATAATGTAATTTCATTACCATCATGCTAAAGCAATAATATATTTTGTCTCTATCTTGTTTTAGGACAAGTAAGGAATCTTCCTTTCATAACAAAGTACTAAAATTATTATCACTGTAAGACTTTTGATTAAAAGTTAAGTTGTAGGGCCTCCCTGGTGGCGCAAGGGGTTAAGTCTCAGAACTATGAAGCTATCGGTATTTTAGTCAATCCACCTGTTCTGCCCCCACTCTGTCTCTGGTGAATCCTCTCACTCTGCCAACCCCGCACATCTGGCCTACACCCCAGTTCTTATATGCATAAATCTTTTTTTAAAAAAAGTTAAGTTGTATATATTTTTCCTAAATACTTAAAAAATGAAATAAAAATAATCTGTTAAATATAACAATTCTGTTATGTTACAGCAGAAAAATAGTAAATTTTGAATCTATATAAAAGCATAGACCTGTGATTTCATCGTAAAATAAAAATACACTAATGGTGAGAAAATAAAAGTTTGTCCAGTAAACTTCATGTTAGTGCAAATTATCTTTAATCACTTGACATGTGGGTTTACTTTAAATGATGGTATTATAGTACAGAATAATAATTTATAGCTCATATGACTCTAGTTTTCACCCAGGAAAAATAACCAGGCTAACCTAGACTAGTTATCTCCCAGCCATGTGTCAAAATAATTGTTAAACAGTAAAATCTGGGCCTCCCCTGGTGGCGCAGCAGTTGAGCGTTGGGCTGCAAAGCTGCTCGCAGCCTCTACAGCACCGGTTCTATCCCCGGCCACCCGCGAGGGTCCCACATGGCGCGCAGACCTCTCCTGCCGCCCACTGCTCCCCTCAGCAGTGTACTTTGGTCCTTCTGCCTGCTCTGCTTTCCGCTCTGGCTCTGGTGAATTCTCTCACCCTCCTGCGCTTCTGACTGTACACAGTGCTTGTATAAATAAATCAATCTTTAAAAAAATAAAATAAAAATAAACAGTAAAATCTCTACATTTTCTTATGAATGAATTTTCCTTTCAGATCTATTCTCCACTCCCCCCCTAGAAAATCATCAGCTAGACAGACATACATCATAGTATCTGTCATAACAGAGAAGAAAGAGTTGAGTGGAGATCATTCCTAGATATCCTGCCATTATTCCTCAGGGAAGAATAACAGCAATACCTGGAAATACATTAGAAACAATTGTGTATATTCTTTTTCTAAAGTTAATTATCTTAACTTTGTTTTTAAAATTTTGTTTGCATATTTATGTATATGTGTACATATACATACACACACACACACCCCCCACACACGAATGTATAACATTATGAGCTATTATAAAGCAAACACATTGTTATTGTAAAATACCACCTCTGTGGTCAGGAAAAAGAACACTGTCAACCATCTCAGAAGCCACTTCCTGAGTTCCATCCAATCATAAACAAGCCTACCTCTGGTAAGGAGCCATTATCCTGACTTGTACAGAATCATTTTGAATTTTAGGTAGCTTTGTCATCCAAAAGTGCATTCTTAATACATTATTAACTATTTCTAAATATTATTTTATACTTAGCATTGACTATAGATGCTAAATAACTAATATATTTTAAAATATAAATGCAAGATCAAGGATTACTTATCTTAAATATTTTCTCCCCTTTTTCTCACAATAAGTATGGACAGAATGTTTTGAGAAAAAGGAAACTGACACTGCATCTATAATCATTTGGAAAATAAAGTAATAAAGTAACAAAAATCCATAGTCTAAAGAGGTAACAGTCAGCATACAAACCAAAAAAAATTAAAAACCAAAAGTCAAAGATATTTCTGGGAAAATAATTACCTAAAGAAAGTTATTTAAAATTATAGAATGGCTCACAATTGCAGCTATTTAGTTTATAGAGCTCTCTCTTAATACATGCACATTTGAGACATGGTAAACACCCATGCAAGTGACATGGGGATATGAAATATAACCACTTCAAGCTTAAATTTTATTTTACTAAAGTTTTTATTTCCTAATTTCAGGAGAGAGATTGAAAGTTACTTAAATGTAATCTTTTTTAAAGCAAATGTTATGAATATAAAACTAATTTTCTGTAGATATTTGGAAATTTCAGAAATATTTATAGAAAAAGTAAAAATTATACATAACCCCAATTCCAAGCAAAAATAATTTTTAACATTTTAGTCTATATTTTAATTAAAAGGATTATTCATTATTAATGCCTTATTATCACTCCACTATTTCTTCAAAACAGCACTTTATCTTTCATTGTGCATTCAATCTTACAGATAAATGGGACTATAAAATAACTTTTTAAAGGTACCAAAATTTATATAGCAGTTTTTATTTTACTATAATGTTATTGATGAAAATATTTTTCAGAATGTTTCCTTGAGAACTACCTTGAAATTCAGTAGGTTTACATATTAATTATTATAGAAATGGTTCCATAATATACTCTAGAATTCTAGAATTTTGCCAAAATCTTGTTTCTGTTTCCCATTTTCTTCCGAGTCTTTCAAACTTCTATATCTACATTTTAAATATAAATTATGTTCATCATTCAGAAATTATATGAAAAATTCAGGCCATTTATACATCTAAACATCTAAACACTGTTACCATCCAAGTATACTACAAGAAACAAATACAATTCTAAAAGTCCATTTAATATATTATTACATGTATGTCAAGCTCTACCTTCCATTAACCTCTATTTTAATAAAAATTTGGAGATGCAGCACCACTGCATATGAATGTTTTAAAGATAACAAAAATGTCATTTAAGTAAAATTTCTTAAAAATAATATTTAAGATAAAATTATTAAACATCTTGATAAAACATGTGATAACATTCACAACGAACTATACCAACCAAATACTGAAATTTTTTCTAAACCATATTTTCTCAGGACAAAATTACATAGTAAGGAGTTATTCCTTTAAAATCTCTTCTAATTTCACTCCTACCTCTGGCCAATCCTCATTTTCAAAACTCTGAAATAGTAGGTTTTGAAAGCTAATTAGTATGAATACTCTGAAATATTGAAAGTGCCTTGAGTGCAAAATGATGATGATGATGACAGCTGTGACAAAGACAATAATAATTTATCAAATGCTTCTAAGAGAGATGCTAAATTATAAGCTCTCCATGGTGCACAGTGGAATGTATCTATGCAGTGGAATTTGGAAAAAGCATTTAAATTACTTTCTTAAAGTGCAGAGTATTATATATTATATATATATATATATACATATATATATATAATGAGTATTGTATATTCTTCAGAACAATGACCATCTAGTTGTCAAAATCAGTGGATACTAAGAAATCTTTTCAATGTCTGGCAGGCTAAATCTAAGCTAAGCAAGTTTTTCTTAGTGTAAAAAGACAGATGAGATGGGGTGGCCCACTCTAGTCAGACCCTTACACTATTCATGATTGGGCCTCTCCTTTACTTTCTGCCACCACCCAAGGGAAAAAAGGAAAATGAGATTGTTTAGCTATAAACACTGTGTCCCCGGTCCTGCCTTATCTGCCACTTCTCTACTTTTTCTTTATGTGCAGTAGCATCCCTTTCACTCACTTGTCCCCAAGAGCCACTATTTAGTACATAACAAGCTTTATGAGTACAATCAATATCAGATGAGGTGACCACGAGCAATCTCATCTTAATCAGTTTAGTACATGGTTAAAGTATTATACAGTCCCTGCCAGAAGCCCAACATTTTCACTTCTCTTAAGTCTGCAATCTCTTCTCTGCGCTGCTTCTGGGGTTATAATTCTTCTGGTTATTTCTACCCTTCATTCTAAGACTGAAGTATTTCCCTTTGGAGGCCCAAGATCTTTTTCCCTTTTGAGCCCTGGTTTTGGTTTTTAAGGCCATCTACACAGAATGATGATTCCATTCTACCAATAAAACAAGAACCTGATGGTTACATTTTCAGTACTTAGTGTCAGATATTTCCTCAGGCTCCACCCCCAACTCCACTTCCCCACAACCAAGCAAACTGAATTTCCTCTATCCCAAACTCAATCTGGGTACCTTTTACAGTCAGTTCTGCAAATATTTTTTTCCAGCCCTAGGAATATTTTCACTATTCATAAATTTTTTCCCTACTTTTTGTACAATTCTATTCCTGGATACCGTCAATTCTCACAATTCATATATGTTCAATGTACATAACTTAGCCAAAGACAGTCCACTGCCTTTCCTTAAGAATTTTTTAAAAAATTACATTTTCATTTTTCACAGAATCTTTTGCTCTCCTATATTTCCTTTAATTTACATTACATTTTATTTGTAAAACTGAATTTAGTAAAGGGGATATTTAAGCTTATGATACTTTACCAAAAGATGCAAAAAGTATATTTATATATACTTTTAAAATCTTATCTGCAAAAGAAGAGCTATCATTTACAGAATTCTTATGATGACTGTGTGGAATAAAGAATTACTATTTAATTTTTATAAATCTGAAATCTCAAGAATCAGGCATACTTAAATACCTTTAACAGCTTGGAGTCAGAACTATTTTCTTAACCTAAGCTTCTTCAACAAGATTCAAACACCAATTTATATTTCACTTTTAAAGGTAAGCTATTTAAAAAAAAAAGAAACAAAACAAAAAAACCTCTCCAGTTTCTTAAGTAGCAAAGAATAGATGGTCCCATATAATTTTTTTTAGCGCAGTGGTTAGAAAGAAAAGTGACCATGTATCTTAGTAAAATTACATATTAACTTACATAATCGTGGAAGGCTTTTGCTTCACTTGAATGTTCACATGTTTCCCGTCTTTCTGGAGCTGCACAGTAGAGATCCCAAAACACGCTAAAAAAGTAATTATGGTGACATTAAGAAAATCATATAACACCAAATGAGAGAACATAATTCCAAAAACTGAATCATACTATTCTTTATACAAAATCTATTTTCTTTTTCAGGACAAATAGTTCTTTGAAAGATTTTAACTCAGACAGGACCTTCAGATAATCACAGGATAAAACCTAGCCAGCTTCCAGAAATGTAAGATTTCTCTAAAAGGACAAAATAATTAAAAATTTAAGCTGTCATTCTTAATTGTTCACATGACCTAACCACATGATTGAAATAATTATAATACTTTTCCCCTAAGCATAAAAACAGTATATAATTTCTTAATTTAATCATTAAAGAATAAAGTGACTCAGTAATTTTCTCAACATAATTTTGTTGTCCAACTCCCTAGTTAATACACTGATCGGTAAATCACACTGCTCCAACAAATTTCCTTAAAATATCCTTTTGTTTTCCCTTGCAATTTGCAAAGTGTGAAAGTAATTTTGAAAATTAAAAAAATCCATCAAGAACAATGGGATAAAGCCAGGTAGAACTGGTTGGGAAAAATAATATACACATAACAAAAAACGTGGTTCTGGTCATCCTTCCCATCTATAAAATTAACAGTGAACACAAGCAAGGGATTAAAAATTAAGAAAGCAAATGTCTAAAATTGCTGGTGATAAAGACAATTGTACTGATCAGAAGATAGCTTTTATTACACATTTTGCACTCAGTAAAAATGAAAAAATGTCTCTGATAGGACATATCAGAGACAGAAGTGAACCTTCCTAGTTATAAGACCAACTTACTAAAACAGATCACATACACTATTTCCTCCTCTAGAAAATGAGGTTGAGAAAATTAAAGTATATAACAAATGAGTGTTAGCTATATAGTAAGCATACTACTAATAACATCATCAATACTGTAATTAGCGTGTATAAAAGCTTAAAATGAATGTATTTAAGCAGGTAAATTATACTGAGGGTACAGGTAACAACAGTACAATAAAGCTTGGTATATTGAACTTGGCCTCTTTGCTTTGACCCTTCAAGATTCAATTAGTCTGAATTTCCCTCCTTACCCAGAGGAAAATACACTGTAGGTTTTACAACACAATTTATTAAAATAAGATTATTCTTGGAGATCAGTAATACAAGAAGTTGAGCAATACTTTTTCCTCTTCAATTTCTACAATAAACAAGAAAAACAAAACAATAAAGACAAAAATAATTTAATCACATTTCAATTCTTTTAGGAAAGTGACAGCAGTTATACTTTGTACTTGGCCTCCCACTGTGGGACTAAAAATTACAAGAATTACAGATATATAAGTCTAGAGCTACAAGTTTTCTACCTTGGATAAGGTAAGTTATGGATTATAGAATATTGCAATTATTCTTATTTTCATGTTTCTTAAGAAACTTTAAAACTCTTAGAACCAAAATTCTATAATGACAGTTATGTTTAGGTCAGTCATAGATCATATGTGTAATATTACAACAAACATGTTAATATCCTTTCTTGATCCCTAATTTTCTAGCAAAATATCAGAAAGACTCTAGAAAATTATTCCAATGTTACTTTTTTTTAAGATTTATTTATTTATGCATATAAGAAGTAGGGTACAGGCCAGAGGTGTGGGGGTGAGAGGATTCACCAGAGACAAAGTGGAGAACAGAACAGGCGGACAGAGTGGGGAACAGATGGGGAACAGAAATACACTGCTGAGGAGCGCAATGGGCTCAACAGGAGAAGTCTGCTGCACCATGTGGGTTACCTCCCTGGCCTGGGATTGAACTCATGGTACAGTGGCTGTGGGTAGCTTTATAGTGCCGTGTCTTAACCCTTTGCGCCACCAGGAAGGCCCCTCCAATGTTACTTTTAAAGAGCAGTCTTATGGAACAGGCAGAGAAAAATAATTCATGGTTGGGGTAACCCCTAAAACGTATTAAGTACTGTCAATGATCATTTATACATATGTAATTAAAATTTTAATCTTAGAATATAACACTTTCTAGTTCTATTTTTATTGATTTATTTAAAGATTGATTTATTTATTTATACAAGCACTGTGTACAGTCAGAAGCGCGGGAGGGTAAGAGAATTCACCAGCGCGGGGAGCAGAACAGGCAGAAAGACCAAAGAACACTGCTAAGGGGAGCAGCAGGCGTGGCAGGAAAGGTCTAGGAGCCATGTGGAACCCTCGCTGGTGGTTGAGGATTGAACCGGTGCTGCAGAGGCTGTAGGCAGCTTCGCAGCCCAGTGCTCAACCACTAAGCCAGAAGGGGAGGCCCTAGTTCTATTTTTAAGATTACCTTTATGGATTTAATCGAAGTTAAATTTACAATATCAAAATTAGAGATAATAAATTACAAAAAGGATTAACTTTATATGTGGTATTTCTAATAATCCTACATTGCCTATATATATTCTCTTTGAAGAAAGGTTAAGAAATATATCCTTTAAAGACATTTATCCAAAGGAGAGTAACAATAATACTTGGAAATATCTCTGATTATTCCTTCTCAATGAATGACAGAACCATAGGATAAGCAAGGAAACAGACAACTTAAACAATAAACCAATGAGATCTAACCAAGATAAATACTCTCTCAATAACAGTATATCTATTATTTCCAGAACACATTAGACATTTTCCAGGAGAGACCATTTGTTAGGGTACAACAGTTTTTTTTTTTAACTCATTAAAATTTGCCTCAATTTCCTTTCTAATCCTTCACAGCTAGTGGAAGATATAAGCAGCCTTTTAGCAATATCTTCTCCACATCACTTTTCCTTCTGTATTTCACTTTTCTATTCTCCCAGATACACTTTGCCATTTTTCTACATCTTGACTATTCTTTGTCTCCTCTCTTATAACACTTTTTATTCCCCTCTTGTGATTATACTCCTATTCTACTTTTAGCTTACATTGAGTTAATAAATAAATGATAATAAAGTAAATAAACCACCAATTACGGTGATGACAGAAGATGAGTAAGATGAGTTAATTATAAACATTACACCATTCTAGCAAACCAGTTTACTGATTCCAATGCTACAGTTTTCACGTAGATATTTGTTTTTTTTCTTACTTATACTTCATGCCATTCATTACATTGTAAAACCATATGCAATCTTGCTAGCATACTGCCAGATTTGATTTCTCAGAGTCAGGTGAATAAAATGAATTCTCATGATAATCTTGGTTATTAGTTTCTTTTCTCTCTAACATCATATATATTTAATTTCAGAAATACATACAGAGAACCAGTTATTTCAATGGGTATTTTATATATATAATCAATTAAAAAAGAGCCAAAGTTATTTCAATGGGTATTTTATATATATATAATCAATTAAAAAAGGGACATAGTATTTAAAGTTATAAAGGCAGGAACTAAGTTTTAGAAAGCATATCTTTTTAACCTACACAAATTGAAAAGGAAATTAATTTCAGAGGAAAGAAGTTTCTTGGCATTTCTATTTCTGAAATTCATAGAAGAGCTGAGACCTTTCATTAAAACATACAAACAGGAAATACATTTTCAAAGGGGATCTGATCCAGGTAAAAGAATGAACATGGGTGGCATGGGAAATGCTACAGAACTGGGCATGGTGCAAACTGGGAAAGAAAAAGACATCAGAAACAAAGTTCCAGAAAATAAAATCACATGCTTTCCTCTACCCCATATTTATCTCCTGCTCCTCTCCAAGGCCATTGCCTCTCAAAGATCTTGTATTTTATTCTGCATTTTAGTGCATGTATATTTTTTTATACATCCTTTACCTACCCCACTCTTTTCATCTCAGTTACTATACAGTCTCAATATTATCAGTGTGTCACTTTTCCCCAATTGAGTTACATATTTCATGCAATTCCAATCAATATTCCAGTAAGCTATTTTATAGATAATTTACAAACTAATTCTAAACCTTATATGTAGAGGAAAAAGATCAGAATAACCAACACAATACTAAAGGAAAAGAACAAAGTTGGAGGACAAAAATTACTGAATTTTAAGACTTAAAAAGCTATGGTAATCAAGACATTTTATTAATGAAAAGGACAAAGAGCAATAGAACAGGATAGAAATTCCTATTGTAAAACAATGTTACCTCAAAAATAATAATATTTAAAAAGCAAAACAATAAAAATTAATTTTAAAAAAAGGAAAAAGAAATAGACTCACATAAGTAGTTAGACTGATCATTGACAAAGGAGCAGAGGCAATATAATGGAGCAAAGATAGCCTTTTCAATAAATGATGTTCGAATAACTGGACAACAACATGCAGAGGGAAAAAAATTACTCTAGACATAGATATTTACACTCTGACAAAAATTAATTAAAAATGGATCACACACCTAAATGTATAACATAAAACTACAAAACTCCTTGAAAATAAAGTTCAGAAGAAAACTAGGTTGATCTTGGGTATATGGTCAATGACTTTTCTATAAACAGCAGTAAAAGCATGATCCTTGGAAAAAAAACTGATAAACTGGATTTCATTAAAATTAAAATCATCTCTGTAAGAGGCAATGTAAGAACAAGAAGCCACAGACTAGGGAAAAAACAATTTGCAAAAGACACTGTGATAAAGGTCTGTTTTCCAAAATATACAAAAGGATACTTAAAATTCAACAATAAGAACACAAACAACCCAATTAAAAATGGGCCAGGGGCCTCCCTGGTGGCGCAAGGGGTTAATATGCAACATACTGAAGCAGTCCGCAGCCACTGCAGCATGAGTTCGATTCCAGGCTGGCCAGGGAGCAGCCCACATGGCGCAGCAGACCTCTCCTGTCTGGCCCCCTGCTCCCCTCAGCAGTGTATTTCATCAGTCTGCCTGTTCTGTTCCCCACTCTGTCTCTGGTGAATCCTTTCACCCCCATACCTCTAGCCTGTACCCAGCTGTGTGCATAAATGAATCTTTAAAAATAAATAAAAATGGGCCAAAGATCAGAACAGACACCTCACCAAAGTGTGTGTGTGTGTGTGTGTGTAGCAGAGATATATGGAAAATCTCTGTCTTCCTGTCAGTTTTGTTGTGAGTATATTAAAATTACTCTTAAGAAGCATTATTAATTTTTAAAAAAGCCAAAAGGGCCTCTAAAACACTGTTTTTTTCCCAAAGTTAAGTCAGGCATCCACAGAATTTAAAGTCAACAGTCATGGCTGACTAAACACTATAATCCAGAAAGCTTAGGATCTGGAAAGTTTACTGGAAGAAGGGATCCAAAGCTTTTCACCAGATGTCAGAGGACTTTATGACCTCAAAATTAAGAATCACTGATTTATGTAGGTAATATACGTAGACACCTACTGGATATGTTAGTAATTTTAGGGAAGAACATTTGAAAAACTGAAAATACTGGAACTATATATTTTGCATGTGCTAGATTAAATGGAACAAATAAATTCAGTCTAAAAATGTGTCCATTTTTTTATAATTTCTTTCATATCCCCAATTATGAATCGAACTATTTAAAATACTAAAACCATAAAGAGCATCTCTGAACCTAAGAGAAGTAGAAAAAGGAAGATCAATGGCATACTTAAGAGTTGTACCTTCTGATAGCTAAAACCAAAATAGCATAAACAAAAAGCCTAATAATTCAGTAAGTTATTATCAACCACCTACAGAAAGACATAGGTCACATTCACAAGAAAGATAGCAAAAGGGAAATAGGTTCAAGAAACAATAAATTCTACAGTGGAAAATTCAAAATGCAAAATTCTCACTTTGTTTTAGCACACTAATACACAAGGGACAGACTCTTAAAGCAGTTTCTTATGCCACTTTGTAGACCTAACTAGAAGCAAAAAGTAAGTGTTAACAGGTGAAGACACTCAATAACATTCAGTAGGTAAGTATTTACAGTTTAGATCTAGATATTATAAATATGTATTATATAAAATGAAAATAAACTCATAATATTAACATTTTAAAACAGGAAACAGCACAATGATAATGCTTAACAGTAATAAACCGTTGTTCCAAATACAGGAACAACTCTGAGCCAGGGACTGCACCTGTTCCTGCCACACGTATATAGGACAAACAAGAGAAACCCACAACCACAACTGACCAAGTGCGGTTCTGTTTACCACGGGACTTCTAGTAAGGCAGTTTTCAGGAGAAAGATTTATCTTTTCAATCTCTCTCCTGAAAACTGCCTTACTAGAATAACATACCAAGGAAATAAGGTACATAGCACTAAATAGAGCTTTTGGGTTTTTTCTTTTAAATAAAATGCTGAGAGATGAGTGTATAATGCACTGAAATGCTTCTATTGAATAAATGCAAAAAATTAAAAAAAATTAAGCCTAGCTTGTACATGCAAATACCTGGATTACCAACTGCTGCTGCAGAAAATCACATACCACAGGGAAATTTATAGGTTCTGTTATCAACCAAGCCTTCAGCACTGCCTGGCATCTCTTAGTGTGATCCTGGTCAGTTCTAACCTGAGTCTGTAAGGAATTATTTCAAATTTGTTTTGTACTACTCTTCACTTCCCTAAAAATTCACCAAAACCACCATTTACAGTACCCTCGAGTTTAGCTGAGGTCACAAGGGTAGAGGCCCCATCATGGGGTTAGTGCCCTTAGAAGAGATGCTAGACAGTCATGTCTGTCGCAGAGGACACGGTGAGAAAGCAGTATTCTACAAATGAGAAAGAGCTCTCACCAGAAATGAACCATCTTAGACTTGTAGCCGCCAGAACAATGACAAAATAAATTCCTGTTGTTTGGTCCGTCTAGTCTGTGCCATTTTATCATGGCAGCTGAGTTGACTACTAAAGAATCATACAGTTGGAGATTCCACATACCATTTTGACTCAACAATAATACCTTTAAGTTAAATAGCACTAATGTTGGTTTTTTTTTTTAAGTGTGTTACCTTTCAAAAATCATTGCAGAATATTTAAAAAAATAAAAGAAATATGAAACAACAAACAGGTATAAAGAAATGCAACATCAATCTAGTAAAAATGGAATAAAAAGTACTTACCACCACCAAGAATGTAAGAATCCTGGTGGCTCCCCCAGTGTGATGTTTTTTTCCCATCTTATCTAAAATGAATAAAAGATACATTAATTTCTTAATACTTTCCCCCTAAACACATTATAAAGCAATATTTTCCCATTTAAAATATTAAAATATATCATTTTAATAAATTTTCATACTATTCTTAAGTTGTACGACTGGATAGTCTATGAGATAACAGGCCACCATTATTTTCCTAAATTTGCTTCCCATGTGCCAGAATTTCAAAAGGTGTATTAGAATCTTTTTTTTTTTTTTAAAGTTTTATTTATTTATTTATTTATACAAGCACTAGGTACAGTCAGAAGCGCAGGAGGGTGAGAGAATCCACCAGAGCCAGAGCGGGAAGTAGAGCAGGCAGACTGATAGTATGAGGGGAGCAGCTCATACTGTACACTGCTCATAAAGTACACTGCTGAGGGGAGCAGCGGGCGTGGCAGGAGAGGTCTGTGCTCCATGTGGGACCCTCGCGGGCAGCCGGGGATCAAACCAGCGCTGCAGAGGCTGCGGGCAGCTTTGCAGCCCAGCGCTCAACTGCTGCGCCACCAGGGAGGCCCCGTATGAGAATCTTACGGCACATCAAACCCATTGTTACTAACATGAGCATGAAATCATTTATCATCAACCCAGATAAGAGGTTGGGCTTAATATGTACAGACTCTACATTATACTTTAAGGATTGATCTTTTTAATAAATTCTTGATTTGGTAGGGTAGGAGTAAAAAGGCATATGTCTTCCATAAAATAGATTATAAGAGACAGTAATATTAACTTTCCAATTGTTATAGTTCCAATTGTTTATATTTCAGACAAATTGGAGTTCACTACAATAAAAATTTATGCTAGGACAATATATATCAAAACTTTAAAGGTCTCACTAAATATACTTTACAAAGTAAATGTAGAAATTGGAAAGCTGGATGGATTAGCACTGAAGAGCAGTAAAAAAGATAGATAAGGATGTTTGCATTCATCCTTTAGTAGGGAAATTAGACCATAAACAAACAAGAGAGAGAGAGAGAGACACTGAGACTTTATATTAGACATAGAAGGTGACAAATGGCTGTTGTGGAAAACAAAGCAGTGAAGGAAGAGAAAGAACAGAAAGATGATTAGAAGTGAGTTATAACTTTAACATGATCCAGAAAGACCTCAAAACCCAATAATCTTTATATATACAGATATATGTAGTGCAATATACATTGATTGCTTAATTTACTACTTTAACTAAAAACTATTTAACAATACCCTGTCAGTAGACTATATCCCACAGGTCCTTAATTCTGGTAGGACATAAACTATAATTATAGATTTTAAAAAAAAAACAAAACACAAGGAATCCTTTCTATCATCTACTATGTAAGCAGTTAGTTCTTATCCCCAAAAGTATTTTTTTTAGTTATATAATTGGAACTCAGAATATGAACCTAAATGTAGAAAGCAAAAACTCTTCTATAAGGAAGATATGGTTAATTGTAAGTGCAATTAAAATCACTGAAGCTGTTTGCATGTTGTAAAGTTAAGTTCACAAAATGTAAATCATTGAGAACCTTGAAGCAGACAAGTAATTTGCTCTTAAAAACAGAGCAAACAGAAAAACTTTGTAAAGATTAGAAAATTAGATATGTATAGTTATTTTAAAAAGAGCAAAAGGAGAAATTTCAGGAATTAATGACAAAATATGAACAATGAACCAGAACACGTTATACAAATGTAAGCCAGATCCCCCTTGAATTCTCCTGCGTAGTAATATAAAAGCTCCGGTATCTATGTATCTTTTACCTGATTTCAGTTGACTAATATTACATCGTTTTGATTCATAAAAAAGTAAAAATAGCATACTAATCTTATGAAAAATAAAATTGATAGCCTATTAAAGTTATAAGTCAGTCAAAATCTCATTTTTCCATCAATCTTTTATCATTCTTTCACTCATTATTGTCTTTTTAAAGGGCATGAGAAAGGCACCTCCCATGCTGGGAAAACTGGACCTCCACATGCAAGAAAATGAAACTAGACCACTACCTCTCACCATGCACAAAAATCAACTCAAAATGGATGAAAGAACTGGACATAAGACCTGAAACCATAAAATATATAGAAGAAAATATAGGGAAAACACTACAAGACATACATCACAATAATATCTTTAAAGACTCATCACCCAAAGCAGTGATAGTGGAAGCAAAGATAAACACCTGGGATTATAGCAAACTGAAAAGCTTCTGTACAGCCAAAGAGACACTAACCAAAACAGAGACACCCCACTGATTGGGAACAAAATCTTTGTACTCCATTCAACTGATAAGGGACTGATCACAAAGATATACAAAGAACTCACATGGCTCAACAAAAACAAAATAAACAGTCCAGTCAAGAAATGGGCAGAAGAACTTAAAAGACATTTCTCCAAAGAGGAAATGCAAATGGCCAACAGCCATATGAAAAAATGTTCAACATCCCTTATCATCAGGGAAATGCAAATCAAAACCAGACTGAGATACCATACCACTTTACACCAGCAAGAATGGCACAAATCAAAAAAACAAGCAACAACAAATGTTGGTGAGGATGTGGTGAAAAGTAACTTTCCTACATTGCTGGTGGGAGTGCAAACAGGTCCAACCACTATGGAAAGTTGTCTGGAGGTTCCTCAGTCTACTAAAAATGGAGCTACCATATGACCCAGCAATTCCACTACTAGGGATCTACCCAAAGGACACAAAAACAGTGATTCAAAAGAACACTTGTACACCTATGTTTATTGCAGCACTATTTACAATAGGTAAAACCTGGAAACAACCCAAATGCCCAAAAATAGATGACTGGATCAAGAAGATGTGGCATATATACACAATGGAATATTCTTAAGCGATCAAAAAAGATAAACTCATGCCATTTGCAGCAACATGGATGGAGCTAGAAGGAATTATGCTCAGTGAAATAAGCCAGAAGGAAAGAAAAATATCAGATGGTTTCACTTATAACAGGAATATAGGGGAACCAAATAAGACATCAGTGTAAAAAAAAATAGTACCAGTACAAAACACAACAAAGCAAAAACAGACAATTACAAATCAGAGACATACTGCAGGGGAGGAGAAGGGAGAGGGATCAGAGGGAGGGAAGGAGGAGCACAGGAGACTGTGGTGATAGTGTATGGGTGCCTTGGGGAAGGAAATTCTCTGGGGACTCAACCTGAGGGGGGGAAGCAATATTGTTTAAAAATAATACTAATTAAAAGAAGAAGAAGAAAGGCACTTCCCAGCTGTGTGCAGACACACTAATATTCCTAATCACCAAATTACCCTAGTCATATAAACAAATTATTCAAAGTAGGGTCCTTACATTTCAATTCAATTCATCTAGCCATAACATGCCTGTGAAAGCAGACAGTACTATTCTACATTAAAAGATAGAGAAGGTGAGGGGACTTTTGGAAACACTGAAGTGGCATGACTGGGTCTCAACGCCAGACTCTGGAGGTAGAATTAGACTCAGAGTCTAGAGCATTCCACTACACTATGCAGCTGCTAAGTGATCTTCCCCCCACCAACTCCCTCAGCACTTCCACAACCCATCATCAGCTCTTTCAGAAGATAAAGTGCTCTAAGAATAAATACCAATATTGTTAATATTTTATATGGTCTTTGATGAGAGGAAGTATGAAGGTAATGCATTTATATTTTAAACAGGTTTACATCTCATTATTTCTTGTAATTTGAGAAAAACACTTCAAGTACATAAATTTTTATCCCCATATAGTGAGTACAGTTTACCTTTCTCAGTTTAATTATCGAATGCCTGTGGCAGAAATAACTAGAACTTTGATCCATCCTGTTTAACACAAAAACCATCCTTTTACAATTATTGGACGAAAAACAATTAATGACTTAGGTATTTCAAAAATGAGATGTTTCTACACAGAAATGTTTCCATAGTGAACAATGTTTTTTGCCTCCAAGCTAATTACCTTAGTTATTACTTACAAAAAGCTTAAGCTAAAACTGAACCCTGATATATATATAAAACTCAGGCTTATTCATTGCACCACCATTAGACTCAATGAAAATAAGGCAAAATCTGAAAAACATTCACCAATTATGAATATAAAAATGAATTTTGATACATACTACAGAAAAGAGTGAATGATTAAAAAGAGTAAGATGTATTTACATGAAAAGAAAGCAATGCTAATTGGTTTTTCAAGCAGGATATCTGGAATAATATATGTTGGGTAATACTTCTGTTTAAAAAATGCATACATATGTAAGTGTGCATTGGATATATGTATATGAAAGAAACCATGTCAAATGGAAAACTATTATCTCTAGAAAACAAAACTTTCTTTTTAAAATCATACTCATCTGTGTAGTTTAATTATTTTAGCAGATGTAAATTAATGATGGATGGCGTTTAGGAATAGCCAAAGAATACCTCTACATGTCAACAGTCATCCTGCTATTTTTGAAGAGACCCTTTCTATTCTATCATGTTCCATGGACTTCAGGCTTCCTTAGATGTGTGAGTGACATTTATACAAACAAATTGTCCCTTTCTGTTCTCTTTTTCTTCTTCTATTATCCCAGTCCCCCATGTGTATTTCCTAGCCTTAGAGCTTTTTCTCTCTAATCATCCACCCACTTTTTTCCCTCCATCATTTGCCCAACTAAAAGCTGAATTCTACTTTTCTTGCAAACCTCAAGTCCCTACTCCCACTGCCTTAGTTCTCATCTGTCATTATACTGTGTCTCTGTCACATGATCTAGTGTTTTCAGCCTTTCTACACAAATACAGAATCAAACATTGAATCATACATAAAAGGTATGTCAGCAGTGGAAAGACATGCCATATGTCTTATAAATGATAATTATAAATTACAAATGCATATATTCTGATAGAGCAATTCTTCTAGGAATCTAGCCTATCAGTATGGTCGAGAGAGAAAGAGTATGTGTTTGTATGTAAGTATACATATATGATAGTTTTCACTGAAGCATGGTTTTTAACTATAAAAACCATAAATGGAAAACAACCTAAATGTCCATATATTGTGACAAACATAAAATGAAATACTCTACAAGCATTAAAGAGAATTTTGAGGTTTCATAAGTCATATAAAATGATTTCCAAAATCAAATAAGACAAAAATCAAAACACAAGACAGTGTGTATAATAAATTACGTTAGGGTCAAATGGGTTAAGGAAGTCAAAAGGTAACAACTTCCAGTTATAAAATAAATGTCATGGGGATGTATTGTATAGCATGGTGATTATAATTAATAATGCTGCATTGCATATTTCCAAATTATTAAAGAGTAGATCTTAAGTCCTCATCACAAGAAAAAAAATTTTTGTAACTGTTTATGGGAATGGATGTTAACTGGACTTGTGATCATTTCACAAAATTTACAGATATAGAATCATTATATTGCCTACCATAAACTAACAGAATGGTACATGTCAATTGTGCCTTAAAAAATACAAATATAGGGCCTCCCCTGGTGGCGCAGCAGTTGAGCGCTGGGCTGTGAAGCTGCCTGCAGCCTCTGCAGCACCAGTTCGATCCCCGGCCGCCTGCCAGGGTCCCACAAGGCGCGACAGACCTCTCCTGCCACGCCCGCTGCTCCCCTCAGCAGTGTATTTCATCAGTCTGCCTGTTCTGTTCCCCGCTCTGGCTCTGGTGAATTCTCTCACCCTCCTCCCATGCTTCTCACTGTACCCAGTGCTTGTATAAATAAATAAATAAATCTTTTTAAAAAATACAAATATATAAACTAACATTTGTATAAACAAAGAAAAATAATACACATACACACACAAATTATAAACTTAGCTTTTCATCATCATTTGCTTTCAGCGAGGTATACAGGTGATTTATCTACTATGTCTCAGCCCCAACCATTTTCTTATGCTCCATTCTATACTTGGTGCTATAAGTCTGAAAATGACCTTTTCCAGACTCCTTACCACCTGCTTTCCTACAAAGTTCTGCCACCAGAAATCACTAACAGGAGATCAAAAGGCAGAAGAAGAATAAGCTTCTGACTCTGGCTCCCAAAGTGAAGTAGTTGCTGACTGCAGCAGCAGCAACATCAGCAGGGAAAAGCAATTCTGGAACGTCAGTGGCACCTTTTTGGAAGGTCTAGGCTTGTCAACATGGGGCCTACTTCAATAGTTTCTCCAACAGCACAGCAGCAAGTATGGAGCTAATGGGCTCCAAACTTTTCAAAGTATCCCTAATCCTTGCCTATCTTTTGAAAACAATATTTTTTAAAAAAAAAAAATTAATACCATAAAAGAAGAAAGTTACCTCTGTATTAAAAAGAACCTGTATATCTATGCACATGTTTGTTCTAGATGAAATTTCTGGCTTAGATATAGCCTTATGTCACCAGTAATTTTCTCCTATCTTTCATGTCTGGAAATATGGGTGCTTCCATGTATAGAAGTACATTAAACTAAATGTGATAAGAAAACAAAGTTTAAAAAATTACATTTAATTCAAAATTAAAGTAAATATATGTAAAAATGAAGAAAAATCTTATTGCATTTTGAAGAGATTATTTAAAACATTGCTATTCAATATGGTATCCACTAGCCACATGTGGTTCTTCATATTTAAAATTAAGTCAACTGAATGTTCTCCAGTTGCACTAGCCACATTTTAAAAAAATTATTTCTTTTAATTTTTTACAACATTGTTTATTTTTAAACAATGTTTGCTTCCCCCACCCCCTCAGATGTCGTCTGCATAGAATTTCCTTCACCAATGCACCCATTCACCATCACCTCAGTCCCCTGTGCTCCTCCCTCCCTTCCTCCCTCTGATCCCTCTCCCTCCTCCTCCCTTGTAGTATGTCTCTGATTTATAACTATTTTTGCTTTGTTGTGTTTTGTACTATTTTTTTATACTGATGCCTTATTTGGTTCCCCTATATTCCTGCTATAAGTGAAAACATGCGATATTTTTCTTTTTCCTTCTGGCTTATTTCACCGAGTATAATTCCTTCTAGCTCCATCCACGTTGCTGCAAATGGCATGAGTTTATCTTTTTTGATTGCTGAATAATACTCCATTGTGTGTATATATATATATATGTGTGTGTGTGTATGTATATGTGTGTATATATATATCTATATACACACATATGTATATATATATATGACATCTTCTTGATCCAGTCATCTATTTTTGGGCATTTGGGTTGCTTCCAGGTTTTGCCTATTGTAAATGTGCACTATCCACATTTCAATAGTTAAACAGATAGCACAGATTAGAGAGCAGTATAACCACAGAAAGTTATACTGAATAGTGCCACTTTGCTTTAAGGGCAGGCAGTAGTTCTCTTAAAGAGGATACCTGTGATTGAGAAAATACTTTGATCCCTTCTACTTTTGTTTTTATTGTTTGATTCCAAAAGGCAGAGGTCCCTAGAAATGGTTTGACAGTATTTATATTTAATAGCCTACAAAATAAAATAAAATAAAAGAATTTAGGAGGTTGCTGATAGTCTCTCAGAAAGAATTTGGGCCATCTGGGAAATTCAGGAAAGGAGAAAATGGAAAAGTTTATAAGGAGTCAGCAAGATAGAAGGCAAACAAGGCTCTCAGGAAACAGCTAGTGAGAAACGCTCTGTGGCGAGGAGACCAGAGAACTTAAGGACAGTTATGGCTAATATTCAAGTTGCCTATACTATATAATGCTTGAAAGTCTTCAGTTATCCCCCAACCTTCACTAAGAACCTTTTGATATAAGAGCAATGACTTAGAGGAGCTTGGAGGCTATGAGGAAAACAGAAATCTTCAGGTAAAGAAAAGGTAGCAGCTGTAAGCAATTGTGCTGTAATATTTAGAAGCAGTAAGAAATTACAACATGAGAACCCTAAGCTTCCCTCCCCTTTTCTCAGTAAGGCCCAGAGATGTTAGAGAGGATTTGAGACAAGCTACACTAGCAGGGATTAGAACTGGAGTCATTTTGATAGAAAAGGTAACCCCAGAAGACAAGAAGATTGAGGGTCATGCAAATGACATATACTTGGAACACATGCATACACATAGGATGCAGATCTATACCTACATTCTTAAGAAAAAGACTACATGAATAGAGACGAACTGATCAAGAACTCTGAAAATAACACAAGCACTTACCACACGCCAGGAGATGCCAGGTCCGATTCTAAGCATTTAAACCTCAGCACAATTTAAAGTATCACAATCATCTTTTCATATTTAAGAAAACTGAATAAGGAAGATGTAGAACCCGACATCTGGTCCCAAAGCAAATGCTCTTATCCACTATACTATACTTCCTCCAAATAAAAGTTCAATAAACTGTCTAGGGTATAGAATAATGATAATAAAATAATTATTATTATCACCATAAGAGAATTATTACTACTACTATTGTTTTCTCTCCATATATGTTTGGCATATAACTGAACTCAATAAAATCCTCCTCATCCTCATCATTATATAAATTGAAGAAGACAAAGTATCACTGTAAAAAAAAATTTTAAATGTGAGTTAGAAAAGTAGGAAGAAACAAAAAATTGAAATAAAATTATGAAAATTTAGTCATCAATTATCCATACTATTATCCATACAAAATAAAAACAAGCAAAAACCACACTTTTCCAAAATTATGGATAATGCCAAAATAGGATATTGTGGGAACTAGAGATATGGTAGTATTTGTCTTTTTTTAAGAGAAAATTTGCATTCTTGATTAATCTTTGCCAAGACAATATTAGTTTTCATTTCTAAGGGCAGGAAATGGCTGGGAAGTTGAACAGGAGGTTACTGGCTGGAAATGGGAGGGGGGCACTAAAAATGCTTACAAATAAACTACAAATACCATATTATGTACTTGATAACTGAAAATTCACTCTATAGTTTCATTTTTTTCCAAATAATTGTTAGTCTATTTTTCATTCACTTATATAAATATTAAAATCCAATGCAGAAAATATATAAAACATACCTCTGATAAAAATGTTTGGGCCGATTTCTGAGCTCCTACATGGAGCAGATACTCATATACGTAGAGTGCTAACCTGGAAAACAAATACAGTATTTGTTGAGAAGAGGCATATTTAAATTCATCCTTCACATAATACATAAGCCTTTTCATTAGAAAATATTTTACACACTAACAGTGATGGAAAATCATGTCTTCCACATATCCTTTCAATAGGAGTCTATATATGTATGTTCAATAAGCACTTAAACTAATTACAAAGAAAAAGACAAATATGCATCATTTCTTGGCAAGAAACAACTAAATAGATTTTTGTCTTGGGACCACTCGCTTATCATAACCTAATTCCCTTTGTTATGCATAATATAATACATGATTTATAACCAAACATTAATAATCTCCATAATGTATTTTAAGGTATAATTATTAATTTTCACTAGTAAGAATAAATGAACTTATTGGATTTCTTTAAAAATGCATGCCTGCCAGTCTTTTTGGTGAATGCTAGCATAAATCCTAGCTATTTGTACATCCACATTGCCAAAATGAATGTTGGATTTCCATTTTAGTATTTGTTCAGCAATTTCTCCTTGTTCTCTAGGTTTGACTGTTAAACCAAAAATATTTTATAAGGCATTCAGATAAACAGCAAACTACATCATTAAGTAAACTGTAAAGGTATCAGGTCATATTAACCATTTGGGTGCTTACAGTTAAAAGGTTAACATACAACTACATATAAATTTATCGCTCAAATCTAGAATATTAAGTATACAGCATATACTGATAGTACTTTCATTATCTTGTAGAGTCAGAATTTTTAAGCCACACCATGTGGCTCAATTTCACTTGAGCTGTTAACAAAATATTATTCATAAGCCCAAATTAGTCTGAGGCAGTATTTTTAATGACATCTTGGACTGATGCCCAGATAGCACTCAAAATAGTTCAATTTCTACTATGCTGTATTTACCAATATTGTACCACGTTTACAGTAAACAAAACAATGTAACAATAACCACAATTCTGTATAGCTACGCCACTTCTCTTGACAAGTTCATGATTATTAAAGATCGATGGGATTTGTAAAAATGAGTAGTTTCCTCATTTTCATGAAAACACAGGCATTTATGATAAAATGAGAAAGCCTATACAAGTTCAGTTGCTCTGTCCACTTAATCTTTCCCCATTCTAAAATTGCCAAACACTGAAAATGAGAATTATTCTGTAGTTACTAATAGTTACTAAGTACCATGAGAGAATAGACATCTGTCAAAGTTACTCACAGATAAAAAGTTTGTCATTGACAGTATGTTATGTAATTTAAAAACAGCTCCTAACCTCTTTAAATTGAATGACACTTTCTAGATTAGTGCTTCATAACCAATTTTCTCTCCCAACACATGGGAGGGATATGACATGCTGCTTTTGGTAGGGGTATGCCAGTGTGTTTCATCTCCATAGTATATCACATGGGATGCAGGAATTGGAAAATTCCTGTAGTTTAAAACAAACCCTACTGGTGATTCTTATCACATACTCTTCAAACACACATATCCCCCCACATGCCCTTTCCTTCTACTAACTAATCCCAACACTATGACATGATTCACTGACCATGAATGCAAATTTCTTGAACGAGAATATTTATGAATTTTCCCTGCAGACACTGTGAACTCAATCTGATTTTCCACTGTAGATCAATGATAGTTAACAAAATCATGATCAACAATTCTAGAAGGAAACCAAAGTCAAAAAGGCAGTACATATCTGATACAGTTCAGAGTCTTCTTCACTCCATAGGCCCGTAAAGGTACAGACTAAAAAGGAAAAAACACAGAGGAAAAACTAACCCCCACTGACCACTGTTTTCAAAATTATAATTACATATTTCCTACACAGGGGATGCATACTACAGTCACTGTCCCTGAGGACACATACACACAACCAACAATGGTAAAACATCACAATTTAAACTTAAATTCTATCAATCTCCAGTTCTGGTTGTTTAATCCATGCTTCAAGAATTCAAAGCCTCGGGCCTCCCCGGTGGCGTAGCGGTTGAGCGCTGGGTCGATCCCCGGCTGCTCCCCGGCCACCAGAGGAGGGTCCCGCATGGCGCACAGACCTCTCCTGCCGCCCGCTGCTCCCCTCAGCAGTGTACTTCGGTCCTTCTGCCTGCTCTGCTCCCCGCTCTGGCTCTGGTGAATTCTCTCACCCTCCCGCGCTTCTGACTGTACCCAGTGCATGTATAAACAAACAAACAAACAAATAAATAAATAAATAAAAATTCATGCCTCTTTAAAAAAAAAAAAAAAGAATTCAAAGCCTCAAATAATTTGGAAGTAGAAAGGTCTACTTTAATCTATCAAAAAAATAAATAACCACCACTTGGGTGGAAATACTCTTTATTTTGCATAAGATTCTAACAAACATGGATTTTTTAATTTTAAATGTATATAACTGGAATGGAATTAATAAACATTTTAGAGTTGCAGAAAAAAAATTTAAGATATGCCGGGGACCAGCCTCCAGCAAAATGTCGTGTCAGGGGTTCCTGAAAAGATGAGACAGCCTAGGCGACCTGTAAGGGGCTGAAACTTAAGGGCTGAGGTTCGGAAGGGGATGAGGTAGTGAGGAGACACTGACACTCGATGAGGTGCAAGTATCTTCTGCCGAGAGACTCAGCAGGTCTTTATTCATTTTTAGTAAGCAGAAAAAAAAAATACATTATCATGTGTAAAACAGAAACAATTAGTGTATTTTATTCCCATGAACTACTGGCTCCTATGGGACCCAGCTAGACGGTAGCCTTCAAGTTTAATAGATAAAAAACCAAACCTTACACTAAAACTTACTATTTCAGCTAGACAATTACCTAAGACAGTTGATAGCCGCAAGTACATCCCTATCAGCTAAAGCCTAAGCATCAAAAGACTATTTCATTCATATGGCCTTCAGCTGGAGACCAGCTGCTACTCAGCTATCAGAAATTTTTTCTACCTAGAAACTTCTTAACACAGTTAACTTTATTTAAAAACTTTCCTAAGAAACTTCTAAATAAAAAGGAAACTTCTAAAAAAGCAAAAGAAGGAGTTACTATAATTGTTGCACTGGATTGCTTGTCAGGCATGTACAATAAATTGTTTCCCATTGTCAAGTGGGCCAAATTGTTTAATAACTAATTTCTAAACAGATAATTTTCCATGCCATTTATTTGCAGTATACTGATGCATATAATTTATTGCCTAATGTACTTTCTGGGAAATTTTTCTCTTTTCATGACCAAGAACAAAAAATACAGGGATGTTAGATCTTCAGCCCCACGGTGTGAGGCACAAGGAATCTTCAGCCCCATGATGTGAGGCCCTTTACCTTCAGCCCCACAGTGTGAGGCCCTTTAGCTTCGCTGCTTGCCAGTGTCTTATCTGGCTGGGACAGCAAGGCCCCCCTGCAGCAAAGATACAATTTAAATTGTCCCCTTCAAAACTCAAATTCAAGTAATGATAAACTGAGAAAATAGGATGTGCAATCTAAAGAAATTACCCTCAATGTAGAAAAGCCTAATATTCATGCATTTTTAACTAAAGAATCTGGAAAACAAAACATAATTAAAAAGGAAGCTGGTTATTTTGTAGTAAAATATTTTACATTAATTCAATTCATGTTAAAATAGAGAATTTAGATATATTCATTCAATTAGCACTTAGGTTACTTTTCTCTGTTCAAGTCTTTAAAATCAGAAAAAATGGCATTACCGGACCACCAAATAAAATTGTTTAAAATTTAACTTCTGAAAAGTACAATACATAAGAGAGAAACTTAAATTTTTACCATTTACAGAATGAATTCTATTACATGCTTGCCAATAAGTATCATGCAAAAGTACTCGGATAGATTAAGTGTTTAACTAATAAGGCATCTACAACAGATAGTTTCATTAAGAATCTAATTACAGCAATTTTTCAACTACCTTTGTAAATGAAAGGACTTTACATTCTGGGAAAGGAGTAAAGAACTTATTTCACTCAATTATTTCTATAACCTTGCTATCCAATTTGAGATTAAATTTCTTTCTCCAAAGGAAATAGAAAATAAGCAACTATGAACAAGATATAAAAATAGATGGTTTCTAAGACTGCACTGTTAATTTACAAACACATTTTCTAAACTACACACAAGAGATGAACACTGCCTATAGTTCAGAGCCAAATTCCAACTCTTTCTACATACACATCCATAATGCCAATATCTATGTAATGTGTGCATATGTCTATATAAAGCAGCTCATTATTTCACAAGTCACCTTATAAAAATGGCCTAATTTTTAAAATCTGATCTTATAGAACAGTTCAAGTAGATAAGACTGTTGATATCACAGAAAGGATCTTTTAATCTTGTGAACAAGATTCATCCAGATTCTTTTACATTATACATGCTAGTTATAATAATGTATAGTTTAATATATATCAATTTTTTAGGAATATGTTTTATAGTGTGTCACTTGTGGATTACATTTAATTATGCCTCTCAATACTTCTATGAGATAGACAGTTATGAACTCTCCATAAATTCTCATGTAAACATCTACACAATAAAAAAGTCAAACTACCAATAAGTGGCTATGTCTTTCAGCTGGACCATAATGTCCTACATCTACTTTTCACTCTATCTACTGTATGGTAAAGAAGCTGCAGTTTGCAAGCCATCCTTTAATATTCAAAAATATATCTAGTATTAAAATGGAAAAGCTAGAGAAAGCAGCTATTTAATAAAACATATATCCTTCCCAAACTCCAATGATGAAAATTGGTTTTATTAGCATTTTACCATCTTTTTTACAGTCAGCAAGGAAAAAGATGCAAATAAACATGAAACCTTTGAATTAATGGATCCCCATTTATAATCTTAAATTCTTTTGGTGGTAGATGTGGTGTGGTGTGGTGTGGTAACATACACCTGAAGGAGGCCATCCTATACCTCTAAACCACATAGAGCACTGTAAACAAATGATACCTCA